TCGTCAGGTCCCAAGTATCATTCGTCTCCATTCACTCCTATCTAACACGCTCATGCACGCTTGCTGGAAGTCCAAGCCCCTCGCCCACAAAACCTCCTTTACCCCCTCTTTCCAACCCTTTCGAGGACGACCCCTACCCCTCTTTCCTTCCCCTATAGATTTATATGCTTTCCATGTCATTCTACTTTGATCCATTCTCTCTAAATGACCAAACCACCTCAACAACCCCTCTTCTGCCCTCTGACTAATGCTTTTATTAACTCCACACCTTCTCCTAATTTCCACACTCCGAATTTTCTGCATATTTACACCACACAATGCCCTTAGACAGGACATCTCCACTGCCTCCAACCGTCTCCTCGCTGCTGCATTTACCACCCAAGCTTCACATCCATGTAAGAGTGTTGGTACTACTATACTTTCATACATTCCCTTCTTTGCCTCCATAGATAACGTTTTTTGACTCCACATATACCTCAACGCGCCACTCACCCTTTTTCCCTCATCAATTCTATGGTTAACCTCATCCTTCATAAATCCATCCGCCGACACGTCAACTCCCAAATATCTGAAAACATTCACTTCTTCCATACTCCTACTCCCCAATTTGATATCCAATTTTTCTTTATCTAAATCATTTGATACCCTCATCACCTTACTCTTTTCTATGTTCACTTTCAACTTTCTACCTTTACACACATTCTCAAACTCATCCACTAACCTTTGCAATTTTTCTTTAGAATCTCCCATAAGCACAGTATCATCAGCAAAAAGTGTTAATTCCCATTTTGAATTTGATTCCCCATAATTTAATCCCACCCCTCTCCCGAACACCCTAGCATATACTTCATTTACAACCCCATCTATAAATATATTAAACAACCATGGTGACATTACACATCCCTGTCTAAGACCTACTTTTACCGGGAAGTATTCTCCCTCTCTTCTACACACCCTAACCTGAGCCTCACTATCCTCATAAAAGCTCTTTACAGCATTTAGTAACTTACCACCTATTCCATATACTTGCAACATCTGCCACATTGCTCCTCTATCCACTCTATCATATGCCTTTTCTAAATCCATAAATGCAATAAAAACTTCCTTACCTTTATCTAAATACTGTTCACATATATGCTTCAATGTAAACACTTGATCTACACATCCCCTACCCACTCTGAAGCCTCCTTGCTCGTCCGCAATTCTACATTCTGTCTTACCTCTAATTCTTTCAATTATAACCCTACCGTATACTTTTCCTGGTATACTCAGTAAACTTATTCCTCAATAATTTTTACAATCTCTTTTGTCCCCTTTCCCTTTATATAAAGGGACTATACATGCTCTCCGCCAATCCCTAGGTACCTTCCCATCTTTCATACATTTATTAAACAAAAGTACCAACCACTCCAACATTATATCCCCCCCTGCTTTTAACATTTCTGTCATGATCCCATCAGTTCCAGCTGCTTTACCCCCTTTCATTCTACGTAATGCTTCACGTACCTCCACCACACTTACATTCTGCTCTTCTTCACTCCTAAAAGATGGTATACCTCCCTGGCCAGTGCATGAAATTACCGCCTCCCTTTCTTCCTTAACATTTAAAAGTTCCTCAAAATATTCTCGCCATCTACCTAATACCTCCCTCTCCCCATCTACTAACTCCCCTACTCTGTTTTTAACTGACAAATCCATACTTTCCCTAGGCTTTCTTAACTTGTTTAACTCACTCCAAAAATTTTTCTTATTTTCATTAAAATTTCTTGACAGTGCCTCTCCCACTCTTTCATCTGCTCTCCTTTTGCACTCTCTCACCACTCTCTTCACCTTTCTTTTACTCTCCATATACTCTGCTCTTCTTATAACACTTCTGCTTTGTAAAAACCTCTCGTAAGCTACCTTTTTCTCTTTTATCACACCCTTTACTTCATCATTCTACCAATCACTCCTCTTTCCTCCTGCCCCCACCCTCCTATAACCACAAACTTCTGCCCCACATTCTAATACTGCATTTTTAAAACTATTCCAACCCTCTTCAACCCCCCCCACTACTCATCTTTGCACTAGCCCACCTTTCTGCCAATAGTCGCTTATATCTCGCCCTAACTTCCTCCTCCCTTAGTTTATACACTAAACAACACTATATACACTATACAACTAAATAATGATCTGATATATCAGTTGCCCCTCTATAAACATGTACATCCTGGAGCCTACCCATCAACCTTTTATCCACCAATACATAATCTAACAAACTACTTTCATTACGTGCTACATCATACCTTGTATATTTATTTATCCTCTTTTTCATAAAATATGTATTACTTATTACCAAATTTCTTTCTACACATAGCTCAATTAAAGGCTCCCCATTTACATTTACCCCTGGCACCCCAAATTTACCTACTACTCCCTCCATAACATTTTTACCCACTTTAGCATTGAAATCCCCAACCACCATTACTCTCACACTTGATTCAAAACTCCCCACGCATTCACTCAACATTTCCCAGAATCTCTCTCTCTCCTCTACACTTCTCTCTTCTCCAGGTGCATACACACTTACTATAACCCACTTTTCACATCCAATCTTTATTTTACTCCACATAATCCTTGAATTTATACATTTGTAGTCCCTCTTTTCCTGCCATAGCTTATCCTTCAACATTATTGCTATTCCTTCTTTAGCTCTAACTCTATTTGAAACCCCTGACCTAATCCCATTTATTCCTCTCCATTGAAACTCTCCCACCCCCTTCAGCTTTGTTTCACTTAAAGCCAGGACATCCAGTTTCTTCTCATTCATAACATCCACAATCATCTCTTTCTTATCATTTGCACAACATCCACGCACATTCAGACTTCCCACTTTGACAATTTTCTTCTTATTCTTTTTAGTAATCTTTACAGGAAAAGGGGTTACTAGCCCATTGTTCCCGGCATTTTAGTTGACTTTTACAACACGCATGGCTTACGGAGGAAAGATTCTTATTCCACTTCCCCATGGATATAAAAGGAAAAGTAATAAGACCAAGAACTATTAAGATAAAATCAAAGAAAACTCAGATGAGTGTGTATAAATAAACGTGTACATGTATGTGTAGTGTGACCTAAGTGTATGTAGAAGTAGCAAGACGTACCTGTAATCTTGCATATTTATGAGACAGACAAAAGACACCAGCAATCCTACCATCATGTAAAACAATTACAGGCTTTCGTTTTACACTCACTTGGCAGGACGGTAGTACCTCCCTGGGTGGTTGCTGTCTACCAACCTACTACTGATTTTATGTACTCTCCCAAATTCACCCACCAAGCTTTGCAACTTGTCTACAGAATCTTCGGAAAAAAACTGTCATCAATAAAGAGCAATGCAATAACTCCTACCCTGAATGAGATTCATCATCTTTTAGTACCACAACTGTCCCCAACACCTTTGCATTTACTTCTTTTACAACCTCATCTACAAATGTTTTAAACAACCATGGTGGCATCACACACAATGGCAAGTCAGAATTTCACTGGGAAAGTCCCCCCCCCTACCCCAAGTATACAAGCAGAGCCTCACTATATAGATAAATGACAAAAAATGCAAATAAAATATCCTAGTGCTTGCATTTCCCCCCCCCCCCCCAATAACTTGTTGGTATCACACATCACTTTTAATTCATTATTAATCTGTCATTTACCTGTTCAATTTAAATTCAGATTTCCTCCTACATGTTTGCTAATTTTTTTTTAACAATATGTAAAGACACCCGTCTTTGTGCTTACAACTTTAGTGGGTAGTTTATTTTATTCTGCAAACATTCACATGGCATCCGCCTCTTGGTTTCATTCCACTGTTTCAGGTTATGACTCATTCAGCACCTCAAATAGTTCATGCTAAGAGTGTGTCAAAGCCACACAATATAACGCTTCGTATTTTACTGTTTCTGAGTGTGAGTAAGTGTAATCTAACAATTCACTACCTGATGCTTAAAAATTTCCCCTTTACATATATAAAGATTTAGTGAGCTTTTTGTGATTTCAGTGTTCTTTCACAACAGCATATTTATAAAAAGCCTACTGGTAATATAAATCTCCAAATCATTTAGTTTTTCTCACCTCTTCACTGTATGTGTATCATGATTTATCAGAAAAATTGTGAATCAGTTACATGTAAATCACCACCCCCAAAGGATGAAATGACCGACTTGCCATCAATATCTTAACTTGATGAATAACTCCATCCTAAAAACTGGGAACTTTCATAAATGAAAGCCACACATCCCAAACATTTATAAGTAACTAATCTCAAGAGAAACCTATGCTGCCTTTTAGGCATAATTCACTCCTACAACCTTAAATCTAGTACAAAATAAGTACACATGTTTTATAAATTCTTATTCTTTAGTTATACCACCTATCAAATAACATTTTAATAATTATCACCTATATCTCTCTTTCATGAAGTGCTCAATTAGGCAGGTAACTATCAGTACCCTAAATATTCTTAACCTCTATTACAATTTAGTTTATCTTTCGGTGAAGCACCTCGTTTTAAGGTTGCGCACATCGCAACTAGGCCTTACCTGGAAAGACGTTCTGCTTGGCTGCGTTAAAAATACAGTAACAAAACATACCTCAAACCTTTGAAGATAGGGCCTGAAAATTCAAAGACACTTACCTTAAAATCCTGAAAAGCAAAGCAATAATTAGTTGACTTACCGTTTGCCAGGGATTATGGGCTGCCGTCTTGCTTTTACTTACCAGTCAAAAAACTGCCAAGCACTCCGTGTTTAACGTCTTTCTATTACCATACCACTATTACACTGAGCCAAACAAACAGGCCAGTATTTAATGGTTGGTAATAGTGTATATGTGGTAATCTCTGATCATCATCATCATCAAGACAAAAAAAAAAAAAAAAATTTTTAGTGACATGATGATGATGTTGCCAGAGATAAAACCCAGGAGCTTCGCCTTTTCCCCAGAAGTCTTTTATCCACCCTCACCTGATCAATGATGAAGTTACGCCTGCGTTTGTAAGAAAGTTCCAGCAGTTTGTTCAAACACTTTGTGCAACGTTCAATCAGCACTTCCCAACGGCCAGCATAATTACGTCTTCGGGGCAAGCCATTGACCTTCATTTTGTCAATAAGAAAGTTTGTTCCAAGGACATTGTACTTCTTATCCACATTTTCCTTGCAATATTGTTCAACCCAGGTAGTCTTCCCAGCAGCAGGCAAACCAACCATCATAATAACCTGAAATATATGAAACGTGTAAAATTAACCATTCACGTCATAGATCCCAAAATTATAGACTTCTGTGTATAATTTTTTCAATTCCTTATACCTTCCATGTGTGTTGTAAGAGGCAACTAAAATGCTGTGATTAAGGGGCTAGTAACCCCTTCTCCTGTATAAATTACTAAATTTAGAGAGAGAAGCTTTCATTTTTCATTTTGGGCCACCCTGCCTTGGTGGGATATGGCCGGTTTGTTGAAAGAAGACGACCTTCCAAAATAGGACGTAAGTTTTTTATAGGTAATAGAGCCAAAAATAATGAATCCTGACACGTACTTGTGAAATTATGAAGGCACAAAGTTGAAGGTAGCAAAGCACTTGACAGCAATAGCAGTTATGGCCACCTGGCATCCATTTTTTTTCTTTTATATTTTTGGTTAATTTCTCTAATTATTATAACACTAAACCATGCAGAATGGTGGTGTTATCAATAGTTTTAGAATTCAAATTTTGCTGCATTTTTACAAAACAGCTTTATGTAAACTCTAAAACTTAAACAAGATGGAATTTATTTGTTTCATTTCGTATGGGTGAATGGTTGTCAACAATGTTACATTCTGTTTATCATGCCACCGAAATACCATGATTTCATTGGTATGAAATACTTGCACTTGATAATCACCAATTCCCATAGATAATCTTGGCATACATTTCCTTTTTCCTCTAACTGTACCACAAGTCAGTATTGTTCACTCTCAGGAAATTGCAGTGAAGGGCTTGTGTACCAGTTCTTTCTTTCAACACACCAGCCATATCCCACCAAGGCGGGGTGGCCCAAAAGAATAAATGAAAGTTTCTCCTTTAACATTTAATAATACATACAGGAAAAGGGGTTACTAGCCCTTTGATCCCGGTATTTTAGTTGCCTCTTACGACACACATGGCTTAGGGAGGAAGAATTCTGTTCCACTTCCCCATGGAATTGTATACCAGTTATTAGTGAATAATGTATGCCATTTACCAAGATACATTTCCATCATTTTCTTCACATCACCACCCAAGATTTCCAAAAGTTTATTAGTATTTTGTAATGTTTCCTGTCCTGTGTGAACAACTGCATCTAATACCAGGCCACTTTCACACTCACTCATAATAAAGAGTCTGATACCAAAGCGATTTACTTTGCTTAGTATATATTGCTTGAACGATAGTCTCCCTTCAAAAAGAATGGAAGACTTACCAATCACAAGGTTCTTGAAAGGATAAAAGAAGCCACTAAATTTGTTTATAAAGTACATAAACACTTCCCTGATTTTGCAAAGTATACCATCTTTGTTAGGATTACTCATGTCTGCAAAAAGCAGCACAGGCAACAGCATAACAAATCTGTTGATAGGAATTAGGTCACTGAAAGCTGGGGTAGATATCAAGTCTGTCTGTCAACCAATATCCTGAAAGATTTTGCTTCCATGTATGTGGTATTAGCAGGAGTGTGGCAAAGAAAACACACATTTCAGCCACGGTAGTGTCTTTCCAATGGCGAAGTCACGATCTTGCCGAAACACGTGTTTGCCAGTGTGTACCGGTAATAATTATTTGTTTGCATCACTGTCAGTCTCATTAAAGGTTCACCAAAATACAGTTCAAATAAAACCAGCTCATATAACATGGCAAGATTCCACTGTTGGCATTATCAAACTGACAAAAATTTGGCAGAAATGTTGCATCTTCCTACCAATTCCAGATGTGGTTTGCTGGTAGTTGCTGGACATTAGTAACCTGAGAAATTGGTTGTGGGACTGCAGCTTGGTAAGAATGCTGTTAAGAATATAAAAAGGAACACTGCAGTAGGCCTACTGGCCCATGCAAGGCAGGTCCAGTTCTACCAGCTTAATAATTATCCCTTTGATGCATTTCCTATGAGTCGATAGTGTGTCTCAATGTAAGGTAAATGAGCCCATAGAAATGAAGATGTGAAAGGTTGTTTTTGATCAATTGCCAATATGCGAAGACCGATAAAAGTAGGTCTTGCCCTACCTAAGGGTGAACATTTTTTAATGTTGCAGAGTTGCAATTGTTAATAAAAACACCAAATAACTATTTTTTATTTTTATTAGACAAAAAGACTATCAAAAACATAAATTGAACTTGTTTTCAAACATTTTGTAAGTATTAAAATAATACAAAAATGAACCAAGTAGCAACATGGACACATTGCAAAGGGATATAACTTTCAATACCCACATTCCTGAGTTTCCTGAGAAAGAACAGTCATTCTAGATCACTAATTTTTACAATGAAACTTTATGAAGCAATTTCTATCCTTCTTGATACATAGATTTACTTTGCATATGGTACAGGAAAATGAGGATGTGACATGCTGTTTGTGTGTGCTGCAAAACTTGCATGTAAGTAGCTTGCCTGACACTGGCCAGTGACACAGGGTTGTGTCAAACCTCACACTGTCATCTGGCCTTTCTGCACGTTGGTACTGCATTGCAGATGGCAATTGCAAGGATGGCAAATCATCATTACTGTCACCATTGGAAGTACTTGATGAAGCTGTTGAACTTCTTGAACTTGTTCTAATGATGCTGCATCTCAACATTTGTCCTTTGGATCTTGCAGTGATACAGATGTCAAGCCTGAATAGCCTCAGTGGCATGCATTTGGTATTTAGTGACCGACAATCACGACAGTAAAGAAGCCATGCATTCACAACAGCAAGATCCAGAACATAGGCAAACAGCCGCATGTACCAACGTTTAAATTTCATAGGTGTTTTGTACAGATGCACCAACATGTTACTTTTGTCAATACCTCCCATGTGTGCATTATAGTTCTTGATGACTGCAGGGCACTGGAACTCATTTTTCATCTTTGTTTCCTTGTTATATCTTTCAATAGGAGTCACAGGATTAACCCTCACATCATTTGTCACTAAAGTCACAACTTTGTTGTCCTTTCATCTTACAACAAGGATACCATCATTGGTTTTGTAATCAAAAGTGCCCCTGGGCACTATTTTCTTCTCCATTTGTTTGACAGGCATCAGTTCTGGCTTACCACATCTATTTTCACGTACTGTTCCAGTGTATCTGCAGTTATATTTTTCTCTTAGCAACTTGAGCAAAGGAAGACTTGAAAAGAAATTGTCAGTATAGATTGCTGATGTATTTCTTTGGTTGAGAGTTGTTGCAAGCACCAGAACAATCTTCGAACTTATTGGTAGTTTACTTTCTTCATGTGACAGCTTTATGGGATGGTTGTCAAAAGTTGTTTTGCCTTCATACATAAGTATATCGTGTATGATTCCATCTTCACTTGCACGACAAAATAGTTTGAAACCCCACTTGTCTGGTTTGGTTTTTATGTACTGCCTTAGGTTTCCAGTGGTTTTACCCTTGAAACCAACCATAACTTCATCAATAGATTGCTTGGGTGTAGCTGGAACTTTCAAGCAAGCATTAGTTAGTGCAATGTAAAGAGGCCTTATTTTGTAGAATCTGTCATTATTCTTCAGTTGTGTGTTATCATTGAAATGAAGTGTACGCCTAAGTAACAAAAACCTCTTAGATCCCATGACTTCTGAAACCTGGACTGCCTTAGTTGCAGCTGCCCAATAGTCCTGAATGCATGGGTGTGAAATCATACCCATATACAACAGAATACCTATGAATCTCGTGATTTCTTCAGAATTGGTTTGAGAAGTGCTGTGTATGTTTTTTTGCCTGGCATACAAATTAGTTTGGAATGTGATATGGTCTATCATGTCTTGAGTAAAAAAATTGCTAAAATAGTCATATGCACGCCTAACTGCAAGAGGTTTTTCATGTTTATATACAGGCAAAGGGTCATTGTGGATGTCAACCCTATTCCAGCTGGTCTGGGTTTGAGAAGAAAGCTCATCATGAAGATCTTCTTCGTCAGGGTACTCCTCGATCACAATACCTTTCTTTTTCTTGTCTAATTTTGGCTTTTTGGATGGTCTAGCTTCCTCCTCCTCATCAGTTGACACCTCTGCATCCTGTGGCAAGTACTCATCATCACTGTCAAGCAATTCCAGATCATCTGCCTCTGCATCAGAGTCACCTTCCTCCAAAATGCAGATATATTTGGACTTGTCTTTGGAGGACTCACCATAAAACAATTTCTGATTGATCTGGAAGTACAATCAAAACGTTCTGTACACACCCAGACCACTACAGAATTGATATATGCATTAACAATTTTTTTATAAATAATTATTTACTGAAAATTAAAATTGGGCCAAAATAGGCAAGAACTATATTTTTGTCTTTTTTTGTTGCACTTTTTTTCCTTTGCATGGTACACTCACATTATGCTTCATACAGACTTCATATATATACGTATATGCTTCTAAACTGTTGTATTCTCAGCACCTCTGCAAAAGCAGTGATAATGTGTGAGTGTGGTGAAAGTGTTGAATGATGATGAAAGTATTTTCTTTTTGGGGATTTTCTTTCTTTTTTGGGTCACCCTGCCTCGGTAGGAGACGGCCGACTTGTTGAAAAAAAAAAAATGCCTAAACTATTCATTTACACACTAGAAACACAAATGAGTACTTACCGACATTGTAGAGGGTAAAATCCAAGGGTATACGAGTGTCACTCAATGAAAAAAACGTCTCTCAGCGGCGCCAAGCTAGAAGTGTTAACATTTTGGTCTCTCAACCAATGGGAAGCGAGCAGAAGCCATCACCACTTAGCTGGAGCGACTCAGGGAAGGCTTGTGATTGGTCAGAAATAGAGAATGGGAACCCAGATGCTCAGTGGGTGTAGGAGGAATGCACTGAATATCATGCTTTCAAGAACGACAATTGTCCTTCTTGCCTAACAAAGGGCCCTTTACCGGGCACTCCTAGGAAAATACGAAATTTGAAATGTCTTTCCTACAAGTCAATAGGGTATCTCAATGTCTAAGCAAAATGAGCCTATATAAATGGATTTCTAAAAATAAGTTTTTGTTCAACTGCAAAAATTCGATGCCAATAAATT